CCCCCCTCTGCTGCCCAGCAGGGCTGGGGACGAGGCCACGCTCCGGGGTGATGAGCTGCTCTGCGGGTGAAGAGGCGTCTGTGCCTCTGTTGTTTATGGAGCAGAATGATTCACATGGAGCTACCCCTGATTTCCTAAGTGTCTAATTTATTAATCAGCAAACATTATGTAAATGTGGGTAAACTGTGAGTTTAAATCAGTTTACATCAGATGTGCAAACGCTCCCAGTTTCCTCTTTCCTTCCTCAATAGAAATGTCTGTGGAGCTGCCATCAGGTGGGAGTGAGGGGGCAAGGGGGTTTACCTTGATGGGTAAATGGCAGGTCCTGTTACCAAGAGTCTAGAAATAGTTACCCATCCAAATGGGACTGCAGACCTGGGCAGTGGGGTTCCAAACCACCTGGGATACTCCATAATCCTGACCCTCTTGCCAACTTGAGCCGTGGAGCCTGGAAGATGGGGATCAGGGCCATGCTGCTGGACAGGATGGACTGGGAAGGTAGTTGCTGGAATTCCTGCCTGGCTCAGACAGGGTATAAATCAGTGATGCCACAGAATGTCCTGAGTTTGCCCCGGGGAGATCCTTCTCCTCCCAGGGACTGTGGGCAGCTGGAGGTGCTGCTCGTGCCTGGAGTGGTTCGTGGGCTGTGCCCACCCTGTCGGGATGTGCCCGGAGCTCGGAGCAGCCAGCACAGCTCCCACTGCACGCCTGCCTCTTCCCATCTTGTCTTCACTCTCTGCTGGATTTCTATGGGCTTTTTTCCTTATTACGCATTTCAAACACCATCTGGACTTGAAATGATCAGCTCCGACGCGGGGGGTGAGTCACAACCTGCCTCTGCTCTGCACGGGGAGACGGAGCTGCCCCGGCCCCGCTCCCGCACACCGGGGACCCCCCGACCCCCGGGGGACAGCGAGCCCCGGGAGGCAGAGCCTGGAGGGGCTCCAGGAACACTCCCTCCCATCCAGCATGGAGAGTTTCTGGTGGGGTGGGCAGGCGTGTGTCTGACTGTCTGGCACGACGGGGGTGCTCAGCAGGACGGATCCTTCGGCATCTCCACCCCCAACTGCTCCTCAGCTGCCCGGCTGAGCCCAGCAGAGCCCACCTTAGCCCAGCAGAGCCCACCTTAGCTCCGTCCTGGCCACTGTCAGCACTGCCTGTTCCTCTCCCATGGCTGGTGATGCTGAGGAGCTGGAAGCACAGGCTCTCCCTGCTGCTGCTTTCCCTGTCTGCTGCAACATAACCTGATTTTTTTTTTTTCTTTCTTAATGTTGGGTAATTAAGGGGAAATTCAATTACCAGTCAGCAAATATGCAAATGAGGTGGGAGAGGCAGCCCAGGCTATGAGGGCAGAGGGTGTGGGAGTTGCACCATTTACTCCTGTCTATCCATATACACCAGACTGTGCCTGGTGCCAGCTGTGTGCCCGGAGCAGGAGATGGCACCGGCGCTGTGCCCTGCCCCGTGCCAGCATCCCCACCTCCCTGGGGACAGACACGGAGCTGGTGCCCCAGCACCTGCTGTTCTCTCCACAGAAGGGTGTTGGAGGCGGCCAAGAGGGCGAACCAGACGGGGCACTTCATCTGGATGGGCTCGGACAGCTGGGGCTCCAAAATCGCCCCGGTGCTGCACCTGGAGGAGGTGGCCGAGGGCTCCGTCACCATCCTGCCCAAGCGGGTCTCTGTCAGAGGTAGGGGCTGCGCTCGGTGGGACCCTCAGTGACCCCCTGGGTTGGCTGCTCGCCCTGAGGGCAGCCCCATAACTGCAGGGTTTGCCTGTGAAATCGTCACGGAATTGCAGAATGGTTTGGGTTTGATGGGACCTTAAAGACCATCCGATTAGCTCTTGGTGAAATTATGTTGGCTGGCACCAATCCCCTCCCTATTTTCCGTGTGCCACATTTTCCCTGCTCTTCCTTTTATCCCTGGCGTGCCTAGAGAAGTGTTTCTTGCTGCCCTCAATGTCCCAGAGATTTTCTGTTTTGGGTCTTCCCTGAGTGGGTTTTCCACTTGCAGCTCTGCCCAAGGGGTGCCTCAAACACAATCCCACCACACTCTGGTGTGTCCCCATCACCCAGGAAACCCCCTTCCCCCTCTGTCTGGGGAGTTCAGGGACATGTTATGCATCTCTCTGCCATCCCAGGGATTCAGCCCCTCCATCCACTTTTCCCCGGGCAGGTTTCGACCGCTACTTCTCCAGCAGGACACTGGACAACAACCGCCGAAACATCTGGTTTGCTGAGTTTTGGGAGGATAATTTCCACTGCAAGCTGAGCCGGCACGCGCTGAGGAAAGGCAGCAGCATCAAGAAGTGCACCAGTAAGAGCTGTGGGGCTGCTGTGGGCGAGGGAGGGCTCATGAGAGGGGTTGTGGTCCTGGTTGTGAGCGTGGTTGTTCCTGAGTGAACATCAAAGCCAGGTGGGGATCCTGGCAGAGCCTAATTCCAGGTGCCCGACCCCCTCCTTAAAACCCCCCCATGCATTTTCAGCTATTTCCAGCCAAAAGAGGCTTTAGGGACGAATGCAGTAAACAAGGCAGTGGGGATCTGTCTTGCTGACAGCGCTGCTGTCAGGTGATGGTTGGAGGCTCGAGGAGGTGACATGTTTACTGAGAGATGGGAGAGATTTACTGCCTGCCTGGCGCTGGCCGAAGACAGATAACGCCGCGGCGGCTCTCGGGCTGCGACGTGGCAGGACTTGGGGACATTTGCACGTCCCTCCATCCCCTTGGGAGGGATGTCTGTGGAAGCTGTGGTGTGCCATCGGATGGAGCTGGCTGTGCCCGGGAAGCTTATCATTAAGGGAGTTTTTTTCCCCTGCTTTCACCACTGAGGATGAGTGGGATGGTGCTTCTACATCCTTGTCCTTGCTGGCATTCCCCAAATGTTCCTCTGATGATCTGGGCAGTCTTGTTGCTAATGCATAGGTGTGAGTTGGGTAAGCAGCAAGGGCATGCAAGGAAACTGGCCCATGGCCATGGCCTTGGGTAGCCAAGAGCTCCTCATCCTTCCTGAGTGCATCACAAACCCCTCAGCACCAGGAGATGCACGAGCGGGTCCCAAGAACACTGATCTACTCATCTTCACAGTGATGTAGCTTTTAAATGGGTGATATTTCAGGGCCAAGGTGTCAGTGGAGGCAGCTGAAGCCATGACGTGGCAAATGTCCTAGGAACTGTCTTTAAATTATCTGAACTTGTCAGCAAATAAACCATCTCCTGAGTGTTTGCTTGGCAGATAGAGCAGGGAACTAACACATGGTGAAGCAAATCACCTGCCCGTGCAGATCTGTGAGCTCCTGCCTTGCAGGGCTGTTGCAAATGGCCCATTTGGGGCCGTTTTCTTCAGGTTTGGGTAGAGCCCAATTTGCCCAGAGAAGTGCCAGCTTTTCTTGTTTATTAGACCCCAAAAACCAGACTGAAGCATCCCACCCTGAGCAGGACAGCTCGTGGCTCCCATTCCTGTACGGGAGGCCTGGGAGGAAGGTGAGGGGTGAGGACTGGGGGGATGGAATCCTGATGGCAACTGCCTACGTTATCCCTGAGAGCAGCCCTAGCACCCATCATTTGTTTGCCATGAGCATCCCTTGTGGGGGAACCATCCCTGCTCCTGGATGGGCTCACCCAGCCCAAAACCATGGCCATGGGTGCTGGGTGCTGCCACCAGCTTCCATGAGATTTGGAGGTTCTCCATCCCCAGCCCCCTGGAGCAGCACTGTGAGTGACTTTGATTAACTCCTGCCAAAAGCCAGCACCGTGGTGTGATGGGAAGTGATGCTAATCCCTTCTCATCCGCCTGGAGAAGGGATCTGCATCCCTCCTCCGAGGGGGCCGCGGAGCCTCGTCACGCACTTGAAAATTAATTACCAGCCCTGTAGAAGGATGCACGACCCTGCTATTATAATCAGCAGGTCACATCCCTTTCGTGGCCCTAATCTATTCGAGTTTGGCAAAGATTTATTGTCTCCACGTTGGGAACAAGCCTCAGCTGTCTGCTCCACATCTCCCCTCTGTGCACCAGCCTAATTCCCGTCTGGAAAGAGCATCTGGGGCCTGGGGCAAGGTGCCACAGACGGCCAGCCAGCCAGCCCCAGGGATGTTTCCTTATCTGCAATGCTCAGCCTTGGCACCAGATCCGGCTTTCCCACAGCCCCAGGCTGATGCTCGCTGCAGGGCACAGGGGTGTGTGGGATGAAAACTCAGCCTCCACAGCCTGTGTTATTGCAGTGGGTTGGATTTGGGGACCTCTGTGGGATTCAGCTGGCTGCTGGGAAGCAAAGTAGCTGTAAGGGACCAGCCCTGGGTCCTTTGTGTCCCCTGGGCAGGACGGTGCTGGGGGTGATGGCAGGGCTGGGACATGCCTATGGGCTCAGCTCCCCTGGACAGTCTATTACATCCCTTCCTTTAATGGGTAATTATCTTGACAAGACAGAGTGGCTTGTCTGCACCTTTGGAGATGAATGTGGGGAAGGGCTCAAAGTTGAGGGAGAAGATTAATGGCTCCTGTCAATAATGTGGAAGGAGGGATCACCTGGCAGGGTTTGCATGAGTAATCTCCACGATCCAAAAGTGTTTTTGTAACTTTGAAGGATGGGCTATGAGTTCACCTCCCTGATATCATCTTTTCCTGTCGGTCAGCTCGTTATCAGTTCACTTTAGTGTCATGTCAGTGGCACGTGTCACCTCATCCTGGCACAGGGACCTCCGGCACAGCCCACAGGGCCATCCCCTCTCAGCAGAGGTTTGCTCTGCACCCAGAGCCAGCTTCATCCCACCCTCCCACAGCAGGGATGGAGAGGATCAGCACCCAATGCTTGCTTGTGCCTTTCTGTCCCCACCTGTACAGCTGAGTGCCTGGTCCCCCGTGGCCCCCGTGAACCCCACCTTACATCAGGGCACATCCGAGCACGGCAGAGCCAGAGTTAATTCTGGACACCCTTGCACGGCTTTCTAGGCTGTGCTGCCCCTCTGGAGGAGGGAGGCTGTGCCCTTGGCTCTCTGACAAACCCTCCTTCCCGTTGGTTGTGGCTGGAGGTGGCGAGGGGGGGGCAGAGGCCGAGGCTCTGTCGTGGCAGTGCCCCTTGGGAGATGTTCTCTGGGCTGTAATTAACAGCTGTTACATTAAGCGGTGTCTTCTGCTAAGTGATTAACATGTTTCTGGTCCCATTAAGGGCAGTTATGGCAGGGATGAAGGCAGCTGTCACCGATAATTGCCAGATCCTTGCAGGATCCTGTGAGCTGGGAAGGCTGTGGGGTCAGTGAGGCCAGAGGGTGGCAGGGGGTGACGAGGGGAGAAGGGGGACAGGAGGTGTTGGAAGTGAGATGGAGGACACATAGACAGTGGTGGATGCTGCCTGGGCATTCCTTGACACCACTGATAGAGACTGAGCCTGTGGCAGCTCCCAGGAGATGAAGGAGGTCAGTGCGTGGGGGTGAGGGTGGGAAGTCAGTCACAGCCCAGTCTGCATCCCTCTTGGGCACCTGGGAGTATGAGGATGGCCCATGGCACTGGGATGTGACATCCCAAAGGCTCTGGGAAGCACAGCAGGGTGGCAGCACCCACATTTTCAGGACTATGTTACAGGGAGGTTGGTTGGGTATTTCCCCAGTGAATGTTTTTTGGCTGCACATCACCTGGGTTTTCAGTTTTGGGAACGGGGTTGGAGTTTCCAGCTGCTCCAGTCCAGGGTGGGCTTGTCTGCCAGGGATTGGGTGCAGCCCCAGGGGTTGGCTGGGGCGCAGGGAGACAGAACCTGCTTCCCCCTGTACCCGCAGACCGGGAGCGGATCGGCCAGGACTCCTCGTACGAGCAGGAGGGGAAGGTCCAGTTCGTCATCGACGCCGTCTACGCCATGGGACACGCTCTGCACAACATGCACAAGAACCTGTGCCCCGGCAAGGTCGGGCTGTGCCCCAGGATGGACCCGGTGGACGGGGTGGAGCTGCTCAAGTACATCCGCAACGTCAACTTCTCAGGTCTGTCGTGCCCGGGGCGGCGGCAGGAGCGGCCCCAGGGGCCGGGTGTCCCTGCTGGTCCCCCACTAAGGGTCACACAGCAGCACCCACAAGTTATTCATGTTGCCATTTGGCACCCACTGCACTGCGAATGAGGGGGGCAGAGATGGGGCAGTTTCCCGGCAGATCAGCAGATGAGGAGGTCTGAGCTTCCACACCTCCTGGGAGCCTTTGGAGTGTAACCTGGCACCAATCCTGTCCTCACCCAGGCATCCTGCCTGGGCTCTCCCCTTGCCTGCTCCCCCCCTCACCTCCTTTCCTCCCCCCTGGCAGAGGTCCCACTGAATCCTGCTGCTCTGCCCTTGTCTGTCTCAAATCTCCTCTGGAAATGCCATTTTCCCCTGCTGTATCTCCTTAATAAACATTTTCTGTCCTGTCCTCTTATTACTTCTATTTATCTCCACTCTGTGATCTCCTCCACAGTGTCTCTTCTATTTACTTTTCCCTCTTGCTTGATTTTTCACTTTCTTCCTTTCATTAGTGTTTATCTGCAGACTTCACTTGATTTAACTTTAAAGCTGCTTTTCCCCCTTTTTTAAAATAAGCAGTGTGTGGGGGGGGAGTATCAAACCAGAGCCCCCTTGGACCCCATCCCCAGGACTCCCCATGCTGGGGGTGCTGTGGGTGCTGAGCCCCCCTGTCCCACAGGCATTGCTGGGACCCCCGTGACGTTCAATGAGAACGGAGACGCGCCGGGGCGTTACGACATCTACCAGTACCAGATCAGGAACTCCACCCCTGAGTACAAAGTCATCGGGCAGTGGACAGACCACCTGCACCTCAAGGTAAGGGCTTGCTGGTGCTGCACTGGGGCCGTGAACAGGCTGTGCTGAGGGGAGGTCCTGCAGGTTTCTCTTCTCACCAAGCAGGGTCTGCGAGCCTGGGAGCCCATGGGTGCAAAGTCAGGCAGACAAACATGGGGGGGTCAGAGGGGAGGGTGTACTGCAAGTACACACCTGTGCTTCAGCTGCGGTGACCACCAGCACGTGTGACCATCCCCACGGGCTCCGGGCATCGGGCAGGAAAGAGAAGCCACAACAGAGCAGAAGGGGTTTTCTCAGAGAAGGAGGGACTTTGGTTTGGGTTTCTGATGTTGAATTTTCCCAAAAGGCCAGTGGAGAGCTTCATCACCACTCTATCCCCACGCCAGGTTGGGTGCTGATGGGATGAGGGGCTGGATCTGGGTAGCACTGCTGTGAGCAGGGCAGGGCATCCCCTGTGCCCTGGGGGTGCCTGGCTGAGGGCAGAGTGCCGTCAGCGGGGCTGGTGCCGTGTTCCCCACAGGTTGAGAACATGCTGTGGCCAGGAGGTGGGACCCAGCTCCCCAGCTCCATCTGCAGCCTGCCCTGCAAGCCGGGCGAGAGGAAGAAGCTGGTGAAGGGCATTCCCTGCTGCTGGCACTGCGAGCGCTGCGACGGCTACCAGTACCAGCTGGACGAGTTCCACTGCAAGCGCTGCCACTTCAACGAGCGGCCCAACGAGAACCACACCAGCTGCACCCCCATCCCCATCATCAAGCTGGAGTGGAGCTCGCCCTGGGCCGTGGTGCCCGTCTTCATCGCCATCGTGGGCATCATCGCCACCCTCTTCGTGGTGATCACCTTCGTGCGCTACAACGACACGCCCATCGTCAAGGCGTCGGGGCGGGAGCTGAGCTACGTCCTGCTGACAGGGATCTTCCTCTGCTACGCCACCACCTTCCTCATGATCGCCGAGCCCGACCTGAGCACCTGCTCCTTGCGACGCATCTTCCTCGGGCTGGGCATGAGCATCAGCTACGCCGCGCTGCTCACCAAGACCAACCGCATCTACCGCATCTTCGAGCAGGGCAAGAAGTCGGTGAGTGCCCCCCGGTTTATCAGCCCCGCTTCCCAGCTGGTCATCACCTTCAGCCTCATCTCGCTGCAGCTCGTCGGCGTCTGCATCTGGTTCATCGTGGACCCGTCCCACTCTGTCATTGACTACGAGGACCAGCGGACTACAAACCCCCACTTTGCCCGGGGCATCCTCAAATGTGACATTTCGGACCTGTCCCTCATCTGTTTGCTCGGGTACAGCATGCTCCTCATGGTCACCTGCACTGTCTATGCTATTAAGACCCGTGGAGTCCCGGAGACCTTTAACGAAGCCAAACCCATCGGGTTCACCATGTACACTACTTGCATTGTGTGGTTAGCCTTCATCCCGATATTTTTTGGGACGTCACAGTCGGCGGAAAAGGTAAGGGAGGAGGGCAGAGGCCTGGCTGGTGTCTGGTGGGCTGTGAGGAGCAGGGCTGAGAGAGGCTGTCATGTCTTCAGGTCGCTTCCCTTGGCCCAGCCAGCATGGGAATTGGGGTGGGAAGAGCTCTGCTGCCCCCGCTGCCCCTCTCCGGATGGGAGCAGTGGCAGCACAGGATGCTGGTGTGTGGGAGGGGAGGATGAGTCCCGACAGCAGATCCAGGTCCCAGTGTCATGAGCACTTTTTCTGCATGGAAAGGGACCAAGTGCTGCCCAGCCGGCGCCTTTCCCCAGCACTGAGTTCCCATGGGACTGAGGCCAGCCCGGATGAGGCTCCGTGCTCGAGTGCGAGGGATTAAGAACAAAGAATAAAAATCTCATGAATGAGCCCCAAATCCTTTTGCTTGCCAGCCAAAACAGGAATCATCTCGTTTATGTCAAATGCAAACAGCTCCCGCTGCCAGCCCAGAGCTGCTCTGACAAACAAATCTTGGAGTTGCTGTTCCCTGGAAATCCCCGGGGTGACCCACCATCCGGACCCCTCTCTGGACACCCCGAGTGTGTCCCCACGGTGCTGAGCTGCTGACACCATGGCTTTTGGGAACACCCACTGCGAAGGGCTGGGGGTGGTTTGCTGAGGGACCTTTTGCTGAACTGACTCTGCTCAGAGCATCCAGCCCCGGCGCTCGAGGAGGCCGAGCCTGCCCAGCCAGCTCTAACCTTGGCTCAACCAAAAAGTCTCACCAAGCCGGTGCTGGCTGGAAGTGGGGAGGAGAATTAAAGGAAATAAATGGAGCCTTTTGCAGCATTTCCATTTTGATGAGATGGCAGGGGAGATACTAACAAGAAAGCAGGTTTTTTAAGAAATTATTGCAAAACAAAAGCTCCCTGAAAGCCTCCTTAATGTGCTCGGCATACTGTGGGTAATAAAGATGGAAATGATAATGATTGTAGATTATGCGCAAGGTTGCTCACCTCTTCACTGCAGCTTGTCACGGGATAATTTAGGGCTGCCGAACGCTGGCTGTCAGGCAGCAGCTCCACAATAGGCTGTGCCTCACGTTGGGGGTTGTAATGCACAGGGCTGCTCTGTTATTAGGCTGCTAACAAGCTGATTAGAGGCGGAAAAAGTGATGTTCCCAACTCCCCTTGGACCAGAGCTCTGTCTCGAAGCCTTCAGTCTGCCGAGTGATCCCTGGAGGGGTGTTGCCATTCCAGCTGGTGCTGTGCTGGGGGAGTGGGCTCTGAGTGTCCCGGCTGCTGGGACCAAGGGCCCGTTGGGCTCCGTGGAGCACCTGCACACCCGGGAACAGAAAAGCCAGGAGCATTGGCTGGGCTGTTCTCCCCTGAGAGCACAGCTGGAGTCCTGAGGATGCCACGGGGCAGACCCTCACCCCAGACCGCTGCCACCTCTGCCCAGACCCCAGCTGAGGCTGCAGCCGAGGCCTCGTGGTCTGGAGGAGTCGGATAATAATAATCTCCGCTTTTATTTTAATTCGCTTTACCTCGTGCCCACAACTTTGCATGGAGGTGGCATATTACTGTAACAAGTCCCCCAAGCCTTTTCTGAAAAGAACCTCTTATCCCCACTGATCCCTGCGGATTACAGAAATAGCAATAACAGAGGATCTAAAGAAAGAGACAATTTCCTGCGCTGATAAGGCGGCAGCGGAACAGTGGAGTCATTGTCTGCTTCCCTGTTTATCACATTTGCTTTCAGCTGAGGGAAAAGAGGGAGAGGGAAGGAGTGAGAGGGACTGTCCAGTGGTGTTAGTGTGCTGGAGAAGGGCTGAGCAGATCTGCCTTTCCCCAGCGGCCACCACGGTGCAAAATCCCTTGTAGTGGGCCCAGGCATGGATTTAGGGTGGGGGGAGTTTCCAATTATTGCAGAAATTTGCTGTGGGGCAAGCACAAGCTGTGCAGGGCTGTGGCTTGAGCCTGGGCTGCTCCCTCAGGCAGGACAGGATCATGAAGCCCTGGGCAAGGGCTGAGCACAGCACTGGGCTCGGGGGCTTGTGCGGGGTCACTTCAGGTTGCTGCAGTCCCTTGGTGCAACGTCATTGTCCTGAGTCAGAGATGGCTCTGCTCTTTCATCCTGCCCATGAGGCAGCAGTTGCTGCTGGGCCAGGAGCTGGAACTTCCTCAGTAGCCACAGCACACACCCCTGAGGGCTCTGGAGAAAGCTCAAGTCTTGTTAACGGAGGGGCGAAGTGGGGTTCTGGGCTGGAAACCAATTAAGAGAGTAGGAACTGCACTAGTGAGAAATGGTCATTTTTTGCAGTGGCAAAAGGTTAACTGAGCAGAGCTCCATGGCTGTGTTGAAGCTCCAGGCTAAAAATACTCCTCTCTGAGCTGCCGGGGGTTTGGTGCGGCGAGACACGGCTGCGGGGGCCGGTGTGGGCTGCGGAACACGGGGCTGTTCTGGCACAGGCATCGCCGGGGTGGAGGTCACCACGGTGGCCCTGTGAGACCCCAGAAGTGTTGCAGGAGGTAAAGAGGTGGGGGAGTGTGGGGAGCCGGAGCTGGTGCCCGTGGGAGTCTCGGCAGAGGGGAGTCCCTGGTGGTGTGGGGTGCCCTGGCCCCGCGCGTGGGGGGAGCGCACACAGAGTCTGAGCTCAGCTCAGCTGCTCTCCCTCCCTGCTGAAACGCCCTCGAGTCCCGAGGCACGGGGGGGGAGTTGCTGCAGAGGCACAAAAACTGGAAATTGCTGGAGTGAGGCTCCTTGGAAAGGTGTTGCTGAGGAGCAGGAGGGGGTCTGGGAGATGAGGGGTGCTGAGCCATGTCCCACCAGGGTCACGCTGTGCTGGGCAGAGTTGTGCTGGTTCCCAGGCAGGGGTTGGGGTGCCTGGAGTTGGGGTCTCAGTGCTGCCCTTGTTCCTGGCCAGTTCAGGACACTTGCAGCAGAGTCTGGAGAGTTGGAGTGAAAAAAAAGAGGAAGAAAGAAAAAAGCGCACATATTCTGGCACAGAGATATGTTTTGACTTTGCTTGATGAAATGACATTTTTATTTCCAAAAACTGCCTAGAGAGAGAAGGTGGAACAAACAAACCGGTGCATGTGACAGCAGGAGGTTTTATTCTGGGGACAAACCAAAGTTTTCTGTTGACTCAGAACAAGCTTTGTGGCATTTTCCCTTCAGGGCTGAGTTGGAACAATCTGGGCCATGTGTTGATTTGCTTTGCACAGTCACAGCTGGGACCTGTGGGTCCTGGGGGGGCTGACAGCCCTGCCTGGGAATGGGGGTCTCCCACCAGCTCTCACTCTTGGCATGGAATGGCCCCAGGGAGCCGTGCAGAGCCCCTGCCTCAGCACCTGCCCTCCACCACCTTTCTGCTCTACTGACTCCAGAAACTGAGCCCCCAGGGCAAGTGTGTGGCCCTGGAGAGGTGGGGACCCCCTGCCCTGGCTTCTGCTGCAGTCCCTGGGCTTCCCTGGCTCCTCCAGGTTGTGCCTCCTCACGTGGCATTAAATCCCACGTGGGAAACACCTGCAGGACAATCCCTGGACACTGTGCTGTGCCAGAGTCAGGGGCGAAGGTCAGGAACTGCTTTAAAGCTGCTAAACCCTTGTCAGCACTCTGCAAACCAGGGGTGTGCAAAGGCACCTGGAGAGCCAGAGCCCCCTCCCTGCTCAGCCTCGCTGGCCCAGCACATGAGCTGTGTGGAGGAGAGGATGCTGGAGAGGACAGAGCCCTGTGCTGGATGCTGATGGAGGGGGATGTCTGCAGGGATGCCTGTGGAGCAGGGACTTGCACTCCTGGCCACCCCGGGAGATGGGATGGGCAGAGGGAGGGGGTTTCTTCCTCCTCCAGGTTGCCACCTGCTTCAGATGCCCCCGGCTTGTGAGGAGCCTGCCAAATGCTCTCCATAGAAAAATGGATTATTCTACAGTCAGATTAATGGGCTTTCATTTTGCAAAACATCTGTCACTGTTAGTCCTGGACAGTGAGCGTGAAATTAGTTTTGACTGCAAAAAGGCAGTGTCGGTGTGTAATATGTGACTTACATGACAAGGGCCCAGGAGCCAGCTGGGGAATGGGAATTACCTGTTGGAGGGAGATGGGGCACGAGGGTGCCCCGGGAGTGGGTGTCCTTGCTGTGCCCACCATCGGCGTCAGAGCTCCTGCCCTGCAGCTGCTGGAGCATCAAGCCTAATGTTAAAGATCCAGGAGTGCCAACATTTCTAGCACTGCCTCCCCACTCAGTTTATTTAACTCCAACTTTTCCATGGTCCCCTGTTTCCTCCTTTCCCAGCTGACCCTTCTGGATCCCACAGAGCTGGGGGGGGTCTCAGCTCGTGCCCTTGTGTCTTGCAGATGTACATCCAGACCACGACGCTCACCATCTCGGTGAGTCTGAGTGCCTCGGTGTCCCTGGGCATGCTCTACATGCCCAAGGTGTACATCATCCTCTTCCACCCGGAGCAGAACGTCCCCAAGCGCAAGCGGAGCCTCAAGGCGGTGGTGACAGCGGCCACCATGTCCAACAAGTTCTCTCAGAAGGGAGGTTTCCGCCCCAATGGAGAGGCCAAATCGGAGCTCTGCGAAAACCTGGAAACACAAGGTAAGGCGGCTCCCGGGGGGACTCGCAGCAGGATCCCCTGAGGATGGCAGGAGCTGGGAGAGGGAGAGCAGAGTCTGCTGTGATGTGTCTCTCACGGGGGTGTGGGAGCTCGGCGTGAGCGGGGCTGGCAGTGAGCTCCTGGCTGTGCCAGGCAGGGAGCAGCACTGGGGGCAGGAGGCATGGGGGGGATGTCGGTGCAGCACCGAGGGGACATTTTTCACTCTGTCACTGGCGGGTCACGTATCCTTAAATAAACAACAGAATAAATAATTCACAGGGCTTTGATACGGGCAGATCGGCTACGAAAACATCGCAGCTAACAAATAGCTCTGTCAGCTCCAATTTCTTCTGCTCTATCTAGTTGTTATCTGGGAACACCAGTTGGAAACCTGCAGCAAGGTTCGATTGTCAGTGAGGCACCACGAGCTGCCAGGTGTCCCCTCTGTGCAGTGCCATGGGAGGGCTCCACAGGGGACACGTTTGTGCTGCTCAGGGTGTCCTGGGCTTTGCCATCTGTGCCAGCTCTGTCCATGTCCTTGGCTGGAGGGTGTCCGTGTGCCCACTGAGCCCTGTGGTGCCTCGGGACCTCATGGGGGCATCTCCACAGAGCATCGTGCCCACTGAGGGCAGGACCCCAATTTTGCCTTGCAGGGCTGTGACAAGATGAGCTTTGGGAACATGGAGCACCCGTGGTCTGTCTGTAGGAGGTTGCTGAGGGAAGTGAAGGGGAGCCTGAGAGCACATTCCCATGGCTTGTGTCACATCCTGGGTCACTCTTTGGGATGAACTGTCTTTAGAGAGCACCCAGAGGCTGCCCTGGGCTCAGCCCCTCTGCCATGGCTCCGTGCCCTCCCAGGGAAGGATCCCATGTGCTGGTGCTGGCTGGATCCAGGAGCAAACCCTGTTCCCGTCCCTGCCAGCATCTCCTGACGCGACAGACGGGTCGGGGTGGGACGGGAGCCAGAAGGGGAGGGTGGACTCGGTGACTGATCCATGTGAGCTCTGTCTCTCCTTCCAGCACTGGCCACCAAACAGACCTATGTCAGCTACAGCAACCACGCGATTTAGCTCCAGGGACTGCGGGAGCCACGGCCGGAGGGAGCGGAGCCGCTCCCGGCAGGACCCTGGAGGGGAGGTGGCGGCCTGGGGAAACGCTCCTGCGGGGCCACTGGGGCAGAGCTCCCGGGAGAACGGCCATCAACAGCAGCAAAAAATCCATACAGAACCAGTAAAACCATCCCACGGCCACGGTGTCGGTGCATGGCTCCCGGAGGGAGCGGGACAGGAGCGGGGGGACGGAGAGCAGGGAGGAGGTGACGAACTCCGGCAAGTCTTTGGGGGTTTTTTTCTGTATTTTGGCAAAAAAAAGAAAAAAAAGAGACCCAACATTTTCCCTTTTCTGGAATTTGTGAGATTGTTTGTGGTTGTGCAGAACCTTCTGTTTTCTCTTTCTTTTTTTTTTTTTTAATCCTCCATTTTATTTTGTTCCTGTCTTCCTCCATCCCTCTTCACTCTCTCCCCCATATCCTACCAAATTCTATATGTTGCAGAAAGGAAAAATAAATAAAAATACATAAAATTTACATAAAAAAACAGACAACAAAATAAAATAAAATAAAACCTAGACTGTGTTCAAAGTGCTGATTTTTATAGGTGGTTCCTTAATGTATGTGATGACCATATGGATTGAAATACGTCTGCTTTATGTACTGACCAGTCAAAAAACAAAAACACACAAAAAAAAACAAAGTTCAGTGCCTGGATGTTTATGAATTATTCGATGACTGTGTAGAGCATGATCATTTTTATACAAGGAGATTTCTAATAAAAGACCCTGGTTTTGCACTCGGTGTTTGCTGTCTCTTGGTGACTTGGTTTCAGGAGGTGACTTGGTTTGGGCTGACAGGGAAGGTTTTGGGTGGCCAAGTGCTCTGGGAGAGCAGGGGGCTTGGTGTCCTTCCTCTCCAAGCATTCCTGCTGCCAAGGGGTCCTTCTGGGAGGGGATGGGGCAGGGAGAGGGGAGCTCAGCATGTCCCTGGCACGGGGCACTGGGGCACACACTACAGCCTGTGCCTCACCAGTGCTCAGGGCTGGAGCAGATCCAGGGTGAAAGGGTTGATTCCTCCTCATTTCCTCTTCCCCCAGGTGTGGGCTGAGGGGGGGGAGATGGACCAGAGACGAAGGGATTTTCCAGAGATTCTCCATTCAGGCTGCTCAGGGAATGGTGGAGTCCCCACCCCTGGACGGATTTGTTTAAGAGTTGTGCAGATGTGGCACTTGGGGACATGGTGGCCTTGGCAGTGCTGGGTTAATGCTTGGGCTGGATGATCTTAGAGGGCTCTTCCAGCCTGAAGGATCCTGTCATGCAGAGGCAGGGCCAACTCCACTCTCCTCATCAGGAGCAACCTGGGCTAATTAGGGTGTTGCCCACTAATAAAAGCAGCTCTGCCCCCCCTTCAGGGGGGGATTTTCCTATTTGCCTGCAGCTCCTCCATGGGACAGCACAGCTCTGTGTATGAGGTAGGTGGCAGTTCTGAGTCTTGGCTGTACCTGTTTTGGGGTGGTTTGGAGTGTTGGCTGCTGCTGTTTCTGGCTCTGGATGGGGATTCCCTGTTGGAAAGGGGGTGGCTGTGCTTGTTTGCTGCTGGCTGGGGAGAGGAGGGTCCAAGCTTGTCTGTGTTCGGGGAGGTGGGGAAAGGTGCTGCTGGGGAAAGGTGCTGCTGCCCACCCTGGTGGGGTGGGTGCCTCCAGCTTTTGGACGAGCTGTGGTTTCAGGTGCCCAGTAAAAGCCCTGGAGCTGGTGGTGACTTGGCCTTGGAGAGGGTGCTGGGATGGCTCCCCATCCCTGGGCGTGTGTTCCCCTGCCCCTTTGTGTATTGTCACAGCTCTGCTCTTGCCTTGGTGGGTTGCCCAGGGAGGGGGGCCCTGGGTGCCCTGAGCCCCCAGGAGCTGCAGCCAGTGACTGGTGCCAGAGGGACCAGAAAGGTGCCCGTTCCCTGCCCGTGCACAGGGGACAGAGCGTGGCTTGAAGGCAGGAGTTAAAAAAAGAAAAAAAGAAGCATAATGAAAAGCTTGCAACTTTGATAAGATCATACTTGTCAAAAGAGCTTCTCAGGAGAAAAAACTGCTCCGTTCCCAGCGCATCCATCACTGTCAGATCAGATGTGAGGCGCTGCCTGGTTCAGAGGGCTCCCAGAAAACCCAAGCTGATGTCTGTGGTGCTGTTTCTAGCTCAGAGATACTGCTCTACTGGCTTTACAAGCAGCTTTCACCCTGAGCTTTGCCTGATAATGACTGGAAAGGCTGATCCTACCTCAATTACAGCATCCCCCTCCCTTCCCTGGCTGTGCCTGGGAGGAGGGATGCTCTGAGCCTTCCAGAGATGGCCCTGTTTTCACCAGCCCAGACCTGCCCTGGCTGTCACTGTCCCTGTGCTGCTGGAGGACCTGTGTCCCTCCCAGTGCTGGGCACATTCCAGTGGCTGCAATGACCCCCCAACACAGCTGGTTAATTTTATACAGTGCTGTTTAATTCTAAATGCTTATTTGATTATGAAAGCTAATTAAGAGGGAGCTGTCTATAAGCCATTGAGATGGATGGGGATCTAGCCAGGCCCTGGAGTGGATGCCTGGGGAGCTGGTGGATCCAGGATCCAGTTTCTGCTTTGCTTAGTGTTTTTGAGGGTAGTTCTGCCTGTGGCTGAGCAGAAGAGCAGAGTAGATTCCAATTCCTAGATATCAGATTCCTAGTTTTCGGTACTTTGTGTGTATATATTTTTTTAAATGAGGTGCCTGTCGTGCTGTGATTTCTCTTCCTCTCCTCCCTTACAGATGAAAAGCACTTGTCTGATTTTCCCTGTGTTTCTGTGAAGGGCTATTGAATTTAAACAGCAATAATTGCTTGAGTTCCCTGAGTGGTTGACCTGTGCATTTTCCACTTTTTCTGGGAGTTTGAGAAGCAGGGAGAAAAACCTGGGCTGGTCCCAGCTCCTTCTGTTGCCTGCTCGTATCTCCCCTTGCCTGGAACTTTCTATTGTCCTTGGCTGCTGTTCCCAATCCTCAGCCCTTCTCCTGAGCTCCCTTCTCCAGGCACAAGTGGGGGCTTTTGGGGTGCCAGGGCACGGCTGGGGGCTGGAGTGGGAGCTCTGTGTGGGCTCGTGGCCCCGGCCCCGTGCGGAGCGACAGCAGCCTGGAACCAGTCATTAACTCTCTTCTGTGAGAGGCAAATTACAGACTTCAGTGGCATAATTAGGCCAACTCGATAGGAAATGGAAAAACAAGATAATTTCTCTGCGAATTTTGCAGTCTGCCAGCCACCTCGTGCCTCGCTTCCCATGTCTTGGGGAAAATCACCCTCCTGCTCCTCTGGCCTGGAGATCTCCTGTTGCAGCCGTGGCAAAGCTCCTGAGGGAGCAGATCTGGAGGAAGGGGATGGAGAGAGCAGGGCTGGAGCAGAGCATGGCTTGCCCCTCGCTCTGGGACAGAACTCCATCCAGCTCCCCTCCCACAGGGAGAGCCTGCAGGTCCTGCCTTGTGTTCAGAGAGGAAGGGCAGCAGAGCTGAGCAGGTCCTGTGGGTCCACACAGGGTGGGGGACCCTGTGGAGCTCCTGTCTGTGCTACAGAGCATTGGAGGAGCTGTGATGGGCACATCAGTGCTGCTGGGAGGATGGTGATGCCTCTGAGGGGCACACCCAGTCCTGTGGGAAGGACCAGAGGCAGAATGGAGCCCGGTCTCTCCTTGTTGGAGCAATCCCGGTGGCTGGAGCCATGGATGGAGGCATGTGGGGTGTACCCAGGGGTCTCTCCACAGCACCAGTGTTCTCTTGTAGGGCCCAGTGAGTCAATGGTGGCCTGTGCTGAAATCTCACTTCAGTGGTGAAAGCTGCAATTAGCATTTAATGAAGCTTTTTGCTTTTATTTTTAGGTAACCTCCGATTCCCTGACTGTGTAATTTAGTCCTCCATTGCTTGGAGATAATTAAAGTATGTCACTATAATTTGCTTTTTTTAAAAGCCTGTAATTATGTTTTTATTGAGAATAAAAAAGGGGGGGGAGGGGGAAATGAAAACAATGTTAGGGGAGGAGAAGGCTTTGGATGGGCAAGGGGACTTCTTCCAGCTTGAAGGCTTTGGAGATCATTCCAGGATGCTGGGTAGGCTGGGGACAGGGAAGGGCTCCTGTGTTAGCATGGGAAATAGTGAGGTGAGATGTTTCAAGTGGAGGGGTGAGAGCTTCAGGTCTCCTCAGCCCTGGCTGTGCTGGCTCCTGTTCTAACTGCAGTGTAACTGGGATGGGGGCTGCATGAAGGACCAGCTCTGCTGCCTTGCTTGTGGTCCTACCCATCCTTCTCTTCCCAGTGCCCTGGGAGGGGGCAGCCCCACTCCCTCTGCCCCCAACCACCAGGCTCTGGTGTGGGGGCAGCCCAGCCAGGGTCTGCTCCATGTGCCTCCCACTCCAACACAGCCCCCCAAACATCCGTGGGCTCGCAGGGCTCCGTGTTCAGCTGCAGCATCTGGTCTCTGTGACCAGACAGGCTTTGCTGAAGCAGGGCTGAGCTGCTCTGCCCTCCCTGCACAGCAACAAATTAACAGGGAGGAATTAAATGTCTCTTCCCAGGCCTGACAGGGCTGCGCAGCCCTTGGGGGATGCTCCTTGCAGCTCAGGCTCTATTTGCATCTGTAAATGCTGCTGCTGGATGTCAAACAGCCCCTGTCCCTCCAATCCCCCTGGCACTGTCTGATGTGCCAGCCAGAGCATCCTGCTCTGCTCCTGGCCCTGGGCCAAGCGCTGCTCCCGGGCAGCCCAGTGAGACCACTGCCTGCAAACTGGTCTGGGATGGGAGCAGGGCCCCGGCAGGAGGAACTGCTCACCTGCAATTCACAGCCTGGAAATTGGCTGTCGGAGGGAAGTTGAATAACGAATAAATTCAAGATAATTGATTGGCCTGTGGCCAGTTCACAGCCAGGGAGCTGAAATGAGTTGGATTGTTGGCTTTTTCTTTAAGTTAGTCTCACTCAAAAATGTGAGCGCTAAGAGGTTACATTTAGTTTAGAATATATTTAATTCATTAAAATGTTGATCTCTGCCG